TGCAGAGCTCGTCCTCATGCTGCGAAGCAGCCTGTGAGGCAACCTTTGTGGTGACCATAGTGGTAGCCAACGTGACGTCACCTAGCCCCGATGCCTCCGAGCGAATTGCAAAGTGCGTCTAACAAAGTGCCACTTAGCGCCTCAGCCCGATTAGTCCCGATCCCCGACCCATTAGCCCACGGCCTATGACCTACGATCCACAAGAACTTATGAGGAATTAATTAAAACAAAACACTTCTCGACTTGCCATTGGTAAGCCTCGAATAAGGGACCTTTTGAAACACCAAAACATTAACTTTCTGCTATGCTACTAAGTATTTATGAAAAGTACTTGTAGTTAATATATATAGTTTGAAAACTCATTTTGGAAAGCGTTTTGATCAAAAAAAATCCAACAATCCCCTATAAGTTTTTAAACTAGTGTCGTGTAATGATGCTGTTGTTTCAATCATTGTACATAAGGTAGATATCGCAAGGACTTGAATCCCCCTTAGACCAACTGAATAGAAGATAGATGCATGGTGTGGACTTGAATCCCCCTTAGACCAACTGAATAGAAGATAGATGCATGGTGTCGCAGAGACTTGAACCAGCACATGTCTAACTGAATAGAAGATAGATGCATGGTGTCGCAGAGACTTGAACCAGCACATGTCTAAAATCCAACGATCATACAAGATCAAACTCATTTGTGGTAGTTTTCACTTTGAACCACACTTGCCTTTACTATGTGTTGAATATCATGTCTCCATGATATTATTTTGATGATAACAATTTATACAATGTGTGTTATACAAATGCACAAACTTTTATATGCAGATTTCAATATCAAAATATGAACAAGTGCAAGTTGACTTCAAGGTATTATGAAGTGAAGAAGATGAATAACATATGAGATAATGTATTTTACATTTTCTTTACTTAGAATTATTGTATAAGCCTTGATCACTCACATACACACACACACACACATAAATATTAGAACACACTAACACAGGCTTAGTGTGTTGGTTAACTATAGAAATCTTCTATGTTAACCATTTGAGTTATAGTTAATTATTGAGTATCAAAACATTTAATTCACACTTTTTTTTACTCTTAGTAGTCGATTAATTAGATTAGTAGTCGACTACTCATGTATATGACTTAAATATACGTTTCTGTCAATTTACAGTATAGTCGACTAATTTGGATAATAGTCGACTACTCAAGTTTATGACAAAAATATAAGTTTCTGTTATTTTATAGTATAGTCGACTAATTGACATTATAGTCGACTACTGAAGGCAAAATACATTTTTTAAGTTTCTCTCTAATTTCAGTATAGTCGACTAATGACCTTTATAATCGACTACTGAGAAATTTTCTAATTTCACAGAGTCTGTTTAAACTCAGTGTAGTCGACTATTCTGTCTTGTAGTCGACTACAGATACAGTTTTTCTAGATTTTAAAGTTTGAATTTATGACTGTTTATAGCCGTTTTTAAACGTTTTCAAAGTTCAAATAATTGTCTTTTCAAGGGCTATAAATAGGTTATTTGTTCATAAAAAATATAGAGACTTACATACCCATAAGCTTTGATCTTTGTGCATTTTTTCAAGTGAAAAACATTTAGATTTTGAGAAAAAGAAAAGTTTCTGAAATTGCCTTTGAACATTATTCAAATACTTATTATTTAGGCAATTTATAGAAATTAGAATCATTCCTAAGCCACTACTATACTACACTACAAATCAAGACTTATAGGAATTGAAATTGTTGTTTCAAAAGTTCTCTCGATTTGTGAGAAATGTTAATCTCTTGGTTTAGAGATTGGTGTGCAAATTGGCAAGGTGTTTGTCAATTGGTGTTGCAATTTGTAGGGACTTACAAATTGGTCAGGTTTGCTTTTGATTTTGTAAGTTTATTCAAAATCATAGTAAAAACTCTCAAGTGGGATTTGCTTGGGGACTGGATGTACACCGGATTGGTGGAACCAGTATAAAACTTTGTGTTTGTGTTTGTGAATTTCTGATATTGTCATTTTTCTTTGTAATTTATAATCTACTTTGCATAAATTTTAAAAGAATACTATTCACCCCCCCTCTAGTGTTCTAGTGTATCTATTTCAGATCCTACACTATGCACATTTATGGCCCTGTGCATATCCTGGTTTCTGCTAGGGCTCTATGTATCTTTCCACAAGACACCATAGGAGACGACCAAATCTCCACTCATACATAGGTGAGTTCTTTAGGCTTGTTTCCTATCAAACATCCCGCATTCGAAATGCTTTGAACTCATTAAGGCTTAAGAGTCATCCTCTCTCATGATAGGATTCTAGATGAGTCCTTTAGATGTGTTTCCTATCTAACACCTCGCATTCGTAATACTTTGGACTCATTAAGGCTTAACAGCCAACCCCTTTGTATGATAGGATCATCAGTGAGTCCTTTAGGCATGTTACCTATCCAACATCCCGCATCCGAAATACTTTGGACTCATTAATGCTTAACAGCCAACCTATTTACCTGATAGGATTTCACTTGTAAATCTTACTTGACTTTTGAACCAATCATCTTATCATTAGTAGCGTAAGCTTTGAACTAATAACTTGATGTAAATGGTAAGTGTTTGTAAGACTCACCAAACTTTATAAATTTTACTTGACTTTTGAACCAGTTATCTTATTATTAGTAGTGTAGGCTTTGAACTAATAATTAGACAAACATGGTAAGTATTTGTAAGACTCACAAAATTTTGAGACCCATTGCATCAGACGTCCTTTCGACTATGTCCTTTTTTAGTCCTTTAGTCAAAAGATCAGCCACATTCTCTGAAGACCGATATCAATCATCGAGATGACTCCTTAGCAAATGAGTTCTCTCAAATAGTCATGCTTCAGACGAATGGTCCGCTTTTTTTCATTGAACAACGAGTTCGCTGCCACAACACCCGTTGCCTGATTATCACAATAGATTATAATTGTACCTTACAATTCTGTCAATGGAAGGTCTCGGAGAATACAACTGAGCCACTCGACTTCATCTCCTGCAGCACAGAGTGCGAAGAACTCAGATTCCATCGATGACTATGCAATCATAGTTTGTTTCTTAGATTTTCACGAGATAGCAGCTCCACCCATGGTGAAGACAAAACCTCCAGTAGATCTCTTCTGTGAGGTCTCTATTAAGAAAGACAGTCTTCACATCCATATGATGTATAACGAACCTTTTTATCACCGCTCATGCGATAAGCACTCTAATAGTAGTGATACTGCAAAGTGGTGCATAAATATTAAAGAAATCTATTCGTGCATAAATATTAAAGAAATCTATTCGTGCATAAATATTAAAGAAATCTATTCCTTCTCTGTGAGAGAATCCTTTCGCCACCAGTCTTGCTTTGTACTTCTCAATAGTACCATCAAGACGAAGTTTCTTCTTGAAGATCCACTTACAACTGATAGGCCTAGCACCTTCAGGTACATCCACCAGCTCCCACGTGTGATTTTGGATCAATAAATCCATCTCATTATCTATAGCTTCTTTCCACATAAGAGAGTCTATTGACTGCATTGCTTCTTGAAAAGTCTATGACTCTCCTTCCATATTATAGGTGATGAAGTCATCTCCAAAATCTTTCCGTCTCCTGACACGCTTGGAAGATGGTTTAGTAACTCATTCATCACTGACACTTTTAGTTTCTCGCGAAACTAGCTCCTCTGGTGCATCTGACGTACTAGCATTCTTTGCTATATCTTTGAGCAATAAACATTTATCTTTGATAAACTTATCCTTAAAGAATTCTGCATCCCGAGCTTCAATCATGGAGTTGGTTCCAAGGTCAAAGAACCTGCAAGTATCACTATCTTCAGCAAAGCCAAGAAACACACATCTGTTTGCCTTTGATCCAAGCTTAGGCCTTCTGATATTTGGAACTCGAACATATGCAAGACACCCCCATACTTTGAGATTATCCAAATGATCTGGATATCCCAACCATAACTGATGAGAAGTACTATTAGTTTTAGAATATGGTACTCTGTTCAGAATCCAGTTTGTCATCAGCAAAGCCTCTCCCCAATATCATGTAGGTAGATCGGATGTGATTAACATCAAATTCACCATCTCGGTCAATGTGTAATTCTTCCTTTCTGTAATTCCATTAGATTGCAGAGAATACAAAGCAGTAGTTTTGACAATGATTTCATGCTCCTTGAAGTATGCCTCCAACTCCTTAGATCGGTACTCTACTCCTCTATCGCTCCTAAGTCTTTTCACCTAAAGTTCAAACTCCTTCTCCACTCAATTCTAAAACTCGACAAACTTGATGAATGCTTCATCTTTAGATTTCAGCAGGTAGACGTGACAGAAACGAGAGTGGTCATTAATGAAAGTGATGAAGTATTTTATGCCGTCTCGGGTGACGAAGCTCTTAAAATCACAAGTATCTGAGTGATTCAGATCCAATAGGTTGATGCTCCTTGTGACACTTGAAAAGGGCTTCTTTGTCAGCTTAGCTTGCACGTAGACTTCACACTTCTCAGGTTTGTTACCCCCATATTTTGGAAGTAATCCTAATTTCTTCATGCTAAATAGTTTTCTATAATTTACATGTCCTAGCCTATTGTGCCATAATACAGATGAGTAAGAAGAAAAAGATATTTCATTTACAACTGAGTTTGGTACAATAGTACTAATCTTATACGTACCATCAGTACGATATGCATTGTCAAAATATATTTTCTTAAATGATAACATAGCCTTTCCTCCTTGGAAATCCAGCCTCATACCGACGTTACATAGCAGACTTCCAGAGACTAAGTTTTTGGCAATTGAGGGAACATGTTTCACATCTTTTAATGTGAGAGTCTTCCCTGAAGAAAGAGTCAGCACCACAGTCCCAGTTCCAAGAACAAGAACTACAGAACAATCAACCATTGATACGTTCTCTTTGGCAGCAACATAGAAAGAGAACAAATCTCTGTTGGAGCATACATGACATGTAGCACATGTATCTAACCACCAACCAGAGTCACCTGTCTTTTCCTTCTTTGAATGTTCGTGGAGAATGACATCCAAGATAGAGAAAGCTTGTTGGCAATTGCTCCAGAAATGAAGGATTGACAAAGATCAATCTTTTCATCATTCAGCTTCATAACAAGATTTTCGAGCTTTTTGACTTGAGGCAAAGCCTCAGTGTCATCTTCGAATTTGAAGTCAAAAAACTTGTCAATGAGGTGAGACTTTCCAAGCTTCTCTTCATCCTTGTATTGCTCCTCCAGAGCATTCCAAATTTCCTTTGCAGAGGGCTTATTGGTGTAAGCATCTGTCAGATGATCAGCCAGTAAGTTAAGGAGATAACTTCTGCAGAAATAATCATCTTTAGCCCAAGAGGCTACCAGATGATCACCCAAGAAGTTAAGGAGATAACTTCTGCAGGAATGATCATCTTTAGTCCAAGAGGCTTCAGACTCAGAGTCTTTTTCAAAATCAGGTTTTTCCTCAGAAACCACATAGTAGATTTTTAAGAGTTGCATCCCGAAAATCACTTTCCGACGCCATGCATTAAAGTTGGATCCTTCAAAATTCTCTAACTTGAGATAGCTCACTCCAAGAGTCCTCGCAGGATTCATTATAGATCAAAAATATTGCTTTAAGATTGTTAGAAATTATGGTTAAATCTAGAATAAAATAGAAAAAATTTGATGTGCTGTAATTTTAAATTTTTTAGTTCACTACTGTGCGTTTGTGAAACGTTGTGCTTAAAGCAATATTTGGCCTACTCCGATACAAGGATCCCAAGATCAAACTGCTTTCAAGAATAACAGTACAGTACTCTGATGTGCACCAACCCAGTACTGTCAAGATCTCCTCGATCTATAAGACCTTTTGGTCAAGGCAAAGATCTCATCGATCTCAGAACCTTTCGGCTCAAAACTTTTCGATTTCCGGGCAAGTTACTACGGACACAGTTTCTGTAGCAGCAGCACAACAGCAATAATAACGTCAAAATCTCCTCGATCCGACGTTCGTTTTCAAAGTTCGCTAGAAAAACTACAAGAGATGCCCAAGGGACACTATTTATAGGCCTTTAAGACTAGCTCAAGAGTCACCCTCAATTAATGTGACTGTTACAATTCACAATAGCAATTATGATTGAAACATCAATGCATTAAATTGCTCTAAATATCGTTGTAACTGCTGCATGCAGTAACTCCTGAATACGAGGCAATCAATAGACGCTTTACTAGGAAACGTGAGGGTCACGTCTCAGCAAATCAGATGAACTTCGTCTGTAGGACGAACCTCGTCGAACGGGCGAACCTCGTCGAACAGGCGAACCTCGTCAAACATGTGAACCTCGTTTGACGAGCGAACCTCGTCAAACGGGCGAACCTCGTTTGACGAGCTAACCTCATTTGACGAGCGAACCTCGTCAAACAGGCGAACCTCATTTGACGAGCTAACCTCATTTGACGAGCGAACATCGTCTGATCTTGTGAATCAGACGAACCTCGACGAACCTCATTTGATTTCGAGAACATTAGGGTCACACCCTTATGCGAATGTGTAGCTCGTCCTCATGCTGCGAAGCAGCCTGCGAGGCGACCATAGTGACAGCCAACGTGGCAGCTAACGTGGCAGCATAGTGGCAACCCCAATGCCTCCGTGCGAAGTGCAAAGTGCGCCTAACAAAACGTCACTATGGTCTTCCTTCAAAAAAACTAAAGAAGAGCAGAAGCCTGCCAAGTCTTTTTGTGTCACATGAGCTTCCTACTGGACCTCAGCAGTGCTTTTTGGGCCAGGCTGTGCTTAATGGTAAGACTTCGATTTCATAGTAACTCGGCTTTTAATTAGAATGATTACTAAAGTTAAGTGACATCCGTAAAAAATAAGTGTAACAGAAATGAACAAGAACGTTAATGTTACAAGATATATATACGACAACAACCACCAAATCCACCAGTTAAAGAAGAAACAATAGAAATTATAGCCGGTTTGTGGAACAGGGAGAATTAGACGCATAACTAACTATATACGAGTAAGATATGCTACTTGCTAAATTAAACGATGAGATAACTCAGAATATTTTTCACATAGCTCTCTCTCTCTCTCTCTCTCTCTCTCTATATATATATATATATATATATATATATATATATATATATATATATATATATATATATATATATATATATAGTTTGAAAACTTATTTTGTAAAGCGGTTTTGATCAAAAAATCCAACAGCATCTTTGTCAACGGAATATTAACCACTCCGCCTCATCTCTATTATATCTGAACTTAAAATTTTGACCTTCTGTCATTAATATTGTTGTATATTTCTTTTTCTTTTCACAAATTTGCTACGTCAAACATAATGATCTTTTAGCATTGTAACAATGTAACCGTTGACATAAGTACCTTTCGTTATCTCGTTGGGCCTTAATAAGCCTACCCTTCGTGTTATAAACATTCAATAGAATATGAGAAAATAGTTTCACCAGTCATAGGTTTATCTTTAAACAAAATGTTTAAATCGATCTTTTTTCTCATTTACAAACAAGAGAGGTGCAAGTGCTGCAAATAGGCAAGAAAAGTTCCCCGGGAGCTTTTTAAATAATTTCCGGTCAAGCCAACCTCACGCTTCTAGTTAGAACTATAGAGCAAGAGGATAAGCATGAACCAGTATCCATAAAGAACAGGAAGCATTCAGAATTACGCACAAGTGTATTTGGCGGGGTGTATGATAAAGCCAAAATCGAGATATCGTTCAAGTTATTCATATCATAAATAAGAATGTTTATATCATTATTCCAGTTCAAATACATCAATACACTCATCATCATAACAGAACCTCACTGTCATAAAAAAAATTAATGAAAAATGGAAGGTTTTGAAATGATAAAATGCTCTTAGTTCCCGAATATAAAAGCCCGTTTTATATAAACGAGTAATGAGGATGTAGCTAGAGTCTCCCAGTTGAAGGTTGTTTAATTGAAAGGCTCAGAGATGTGCTTGACCAGTATATGAAGGAGAGGACATGACAGAGAGCACTTCGGTGAATGAAGCCATGGCACTTAAAGCCGCCTTTAGAACCTCCTGAGAACATCCAGGCTTCACTATGCTCTTTACCTGTACAAATAAGCATCGTGGCAATATATCTTCAGTATTTATCAGATGCAACTGTAAGAAGTCATATTGGCATACTAAGTTGGATCACAAAGCTTCTCTGTTGAACATTGCACTACTGAAGAATTGATGAGGTCCAAATTTGATGCTTCGTTAATTAGCCTTGAAGAAGAGTGTCGCGTATTTAAAAGAAAGTAAATTTGCACCTAGACAAACTTGTTGGTGAAGTTATGCTAGAGCTAATTGCACCAAGAAGGATATGATTGATGCTAGGGACGTATTTCATCTTACAAATTATCGTTTACATCCATTCAAGCAATTAGCTAAAATATCTGATATTTTGGTATTCATTGATTTGGCTATAGGATTTGGAAAAGGTAAAATACTAAAAGACAATCTCATCATAGAGTGCTAAATAGGACCTTATCAATATACTCCTGGAGCAACTTCATGCGGCCCATGTAGTCTTGATCTTCAACGCACAGTGTAATAGCCTTAGCATCAGCTCCCGGTCCTTCAAATTGAAGTGGTCCAGGATTTCTGTACATGTCCTCCAACAAGAAACTCATACCATTTTCTCTCAACAACCTGGAAAGCAACTTTAAACATTAGCCATACGGACCGTACATAACAGGGAGAATAAAGAAACAAGATCCAAATCAAAAGTTAAAATTACAAACACAATTTAAACAGAATTGTTTTGGGGACACGATACTGAAATAAGAATCCTGATGGTGTGTGCAAAGTTCATAATAATAATATATGGAAAAAAATGAGCAATGAATACATACTGATATGCTTTTCCTTTCAAGTCAACAGTAGCAGGATGGACAGCAGGTTTTCCAATTGGGGTAGCTCCTGGTCCTCGAGACCATCGCTTTACAGTCATCATTGCCTGTCAATAATAGAAAATATCAATGATCTCATGCGATTGTTTGCAAAAAACTTGTACCTTTTAATTATTTACACACAGACGAGTATGTTTCATAACAAAGCAAGAGGATAAAGATCTCACTGTGATCGGTGCAGCACCACATTTCCATTTGTTCACAGGATTTTTCAGGTTTGTAACCGTAGCCATGTAGCCGTTTAAACCAGCTGCAAGTATATGGTAACAAATATGTCCAAGAACCTATATAAAGAGAATTTTATCTTAGTAAATGTCATGCAATAACATATAATTGCAAAAATTCTAGCAATTTGGAGCCAAATGGGAGCTCACATAGGCATAATCACAATCGAATTTTGATGGTAGAGAACCCCTGGCCTGATAACCGAAGAAGTGGCAGATGGCATTGAATTTCTTTCCCTTATATGTGCCTGCTTTCTGAAAAGATAATTATAACATTAGCTCACTTGGGAATATTGTCAACAAGAATAGTGCAAGGCATTAACCTCATATATAATGAGCTGTACTTACCAAACGTTTGTTTATCTCAGTCTCCACCAACTGGGCTAGGAGTTTCTCTGTCTCAATCTGATATAGGATGCAGGAAAAATTGCTAAAATTAGGACAAAAGAAAAAGAAAGAAAAATGATTGAACTTATTCTAACAATATATCACCTGAGACAACTGAGCGGAGTCATCAGATTCTGGATGAAGCAGCAGCTGCAAATTAAAATTTCATGTTACTAATATCAACAGGAACCACAAAAGAAGCGTATTGTTGTTAGATAAAAATTTAATGAGAAAAGTTCAACAGAACCTGTTTCCTGATAAATGGTGGCAAAAATTCAAACAATGCAGATGCCCAAGGTGATAGATGTGAGGAGATGTTTTCAGTAGATATGCCTTTACTATGGAGACCATGAATTTCCTGGAACAGGCACAACATCATAATGCCGATAAAGTTAAAGTTATTTTCAACACAACATACAGGCAACAAAAGAAGAATTGTGTTCTATTTGGTCAGAGAAAAAAGTAATAAAATTGGGAATCTGAAGTTGAATGTAAAAAGAGCAGTTTACCTGGAGAAGAGCATACAACTCTGGGATACTTTCCACAAGGCCCTCAGGGATAAGGATTACTCCGAAATTTTTGTCTGAAGGTGGATTAATAATGTATTAGATAACACATGATAATCGGTATCATAAACAGAAGCAACATCTTCAAACCTTGTTCAGCCCTTGCTTGGACTGCATCGCAGATTTGTTTTGTAATATCAAAAATGGTAAGTTTGGAAGCAGCAACTTCCTCGCCCAGGATAACCTGCAAACAAACAATAATGAAGGGGATAAGGATTCAATCCTTCGATAGATCCATTCATGTTATTTATGAAATCACATTAATAACAATATCATGGTTGGAAAAAGGCTAACCATATTTGGATGTGATTGGAGGGTACATTCCAAAGCCACATGAGATGCCTTGCGCCCCATCAGGCGAATAAAATAATAATACTGCAAAAAGAATTTAGAATGTTAAGAGGAAATTAAGCTGGAGAGAGAATATTTAGTAAACTACAGTTAACATATGCAGCCGCACAAAGAAAGTAATACACACAGATTAAAGAATATTTAATTAAATGTAGTTGATACTTTCATAAATATTTCCTTGTTCCCCATTGCAAAGAATATAGTTGCAACTCTACATTCTCCTAAAATTAATAGGTTCTAGGCTTCTAGCGGAGAATTAGAACAATGGAATTACTTGCTTTTGCAATTATATTTCAGTATTATCTTTGGTACTGAAAATCATAAAGTAACTTCAAAGAGATACCAAACTAGCCACAAAGTACCTTTTCTGCAGAGAGAGCATCTGTACAGACGTTGCTAATGAGCTGTGAGTTAACCTGAAAATAGAACAGCTTCAGAAGTTAACCATAGCAGAGAACCAAGCTTCTACAACCAGATAAAAGAAAATTGATACAACTAAGAATTTGAATGCGCATATTGAACGTTCTGCAAACTCACATAGATTAACTTATTTAGTACATATTGATAAAATAACAGTAACATGGAAATATCTGGTTTGAGTTTAGCTTACTGAAATATTCGCTTTACCAATTTAAACGGTATGAGAAGTTAACAGCAGTGCACAGAGAAAATGAAATGAATCAGAGAGGTATTCGCAAAGCAACTTATAAATATCTTAGTGATTTAACTATCACGCATCATGAAAATAACCCATATTTGTAGCAAATTTTGAACATATTTTCTTAGCAAGCATCCATATATGAAAATAACCTATAATTCAGCAAATTTTAAGCATATTTTTCATTGCAAGCACAGCACGATACCTTGCATATTGTATCAAACCCAACATTTGCTTCGACAAACTGATTCTTAAGGTCCCCATTCAAAGTAACAGGAACACCAACCACCTACGAAGGCATTTGTATTCTTAGCCAGTTGTAGAAAGAAAATTATTGAAGACAAATAGAGTAGCTTTGTACAATAAGCACTTCCTAAATATAATTACATGAAACCAGACAAGATACCAGATAATTTTTCCAGAGTTCATATAGATTCAAGCAAAGATTTCATATAGTATAGACGTGAATAGTCATGTGAAATACCTTTGTTGAGCAATTTGATACTGCAAATGTCTCCGCAAGCTGAGCGGCATCCGTGTTGGATGTAACACCTTCAAGAAGAATAAAAAGTTAAGCAGTTTCAGTATATTCTAGACATAATAAAAATCTACAAAAGATTTTTTTTAAGTACCTCCAATAATGACAAGAGCATCCAACTTCAAAGTTTGGCATGTGGTCATTGCAGCATTCACCTGCTCAGTTGTCCTGATCTGATCTTTTGTACGGCCGAGTAAATCATATCCACCTTCAGGAGAAAAAGCTTACATACAGACTCAAAAGATGACTACTAACTACATCAGAAAAACAATGGACCAACTTTAGGAACCTTGGTTTTTATATGTAGAAATAATATCGTCAGTGATTTCCAGAGTTTTTTGTGCAAATAAACCTTCAGTTCCACCTGCATGCATTAACAATGGTATCAGCAAAATGTAGAATCCCGAGTTCAATATCTACATAAGATTGTACCACATTATATGTTACACAATACCAAATGTTATTTCTACACAATATAGACTTTGAAGGTGAGTGGAGCAAATACCACAATATGGTTTACGAATCAGCAATTATACATAATAGAGAAACTGTTGAGCAACCAAGAAATAATCCACAATCCCATATAGGAAGCTAAGAAGCTGCTGATGGCAAAATCAAAGATTTATTTCTAAAAAATGTTATCATGAATAACAGAACGTAAAGAGATTTGCAAAAAAGAAAAAAAAAAAGAGCTCCAAGACAAACTTCTTGTACCTGAATTTGGAAGTTTCTATTATGTACATTATATACAACTAATTCATGAGACTATTGTCTGAAAAATCATGCCTCCAAAACCTAGCAAGCCAACCAATAACAGGAATATAGATAAAAGCAGAATTGCACTTAGTGCAAACTTGAGCTCTAACAAAATTATTGCAGTTAAAAGTTAAATGAAAATCACTTATTTGTGTATATGTTGAGAAGAAATAGGAATAGTTAAAGTTCACCATGGAGGTAAAACCTAATCAGAATAATTGGTTAACATCTGGATAACTTTATTAAATACATGGACAATCATAACTGCCTGGACATAAAATACAGAAACAAGACCATATATGTTGGCCTAGAAACATGTATTGGATGATAAAAACAATAAGTCATATAAATCTTCTTACCAATGAATCCAAGTAAAGTGCTTTTAGGATTGTGGGCTTTGATAGCATCAAAGAGTCCCCAGATGACATTGTGGCCTCCCGGAGACTGCCTCCCAGAAAATACGACTCCTACCCTGTTAAGAAATATTTTTATAGAAACACCATCAAACAATGACCAGAAAGTAACAAAAGATTTTAATTTTTAACACTAGAGATCTCGATAGGACAATCAGACTAAAAACTGTACATCCCATCCCAAAGATTATGACCTCAGTCATTGCCAAAAGATTATATGACAGTGAAGAAATGAGAAGATGATAAAACAATTTGTTAAATAAATAACCATTCGAAGCATAAAATGTTAATTTTTGCCTCAAACCCCACTGTTAATGATCAAACTCAGAACAACTTCAACAACATCATCATCATCATCAAAACCTTTATCCAAAATGTTTGGGGTCAAAACAACTTGTAGCCATCATTTAATTTATCAACACTACGTGGACTCATCGCACAAGGATTGAGTTTATTGCTCGATTTGGGTAACTTGAAGAGTTACATTGGACTTAGGAGGATGGCCAATTCAATTCAATTCTGATTCATAGACAAAAAGTGATCAGAGAGCAGACTTCTCTCATGTCCAATTCAGAAACAGCAACCAAGCCACATCCAGCACTTTTAATAGTCAAGATTAATCCTAAGTCAAGGGTTTCAGAAAAGAAAGCAACTTCGTAACCATCCTAGAACTGCACAAATGTATCGATTTAAAAATTCTCCCATAAATTACCCAAAAAAATTAACAAAATTTCCCGTCAAGTAGCTATGAAACCATCATTAACATTTAGCAAAGTTGTGATGTGTTTCCATATGTACCCAGCATAGTTGTTAAGAATTTAATTTATTACTATTCTATATTCCAGATATTGTTAGACAGTAGAAACTTTGAGTGATAACCCATTACTTATACCATCATGAGATGCTTTAACATTCTAAATCCATGAGCCAAAAATAAATAGATGGCAAGGGACCAGATTTAGAGGATAGCTGGATGCAATGTATCTTCTCTTGACGGGTAAATTGCGAACAAAAGTTATGTGCTCAAACGAGTGTTAGAAATAACAAAAGAAGGGAAGGAATAAGTACAAACTTTACAACTGGATGCTCGGTTATGATCTGGGCATCGGGAACCTTGGCCGTGGCCCTCAAAAAATGTGCCAATGGCTGTCCATATGTGTGTGGATATGCATGACTGATCACATGTGCACCAGATGGATCTGCAGCAGTTGTTCCGTCACCAAATTCTACCCTCACAGTTGTTCCCTGTTCATGGTAAGATTAAATACACAATTATTCATCTCATTGTTTACAGAAAACGCGTAAAAGAAAAGAGTTTTCCTCTCATGCAGATAGAATGGAAATTTAAATATGTCAGCACTGTTCCAAGTGGTTTATCTACAGCAAGTTAAACATATATATAAGAAGAAATGAGTAATCATATATATAAATTTGTAGACGCCAATTACCAGTGCAATGCATCCACTTTTGTCAGATACATGAAACTAGGTGTATAGCTTGAAGCAAAAAAGAAGTATGAAAATAATATCACTAACTAGCATTTGTCACATACTTGATGGCATGCATTTTAGTAGCAACCTAAGTATTCAAAATGTTTAGTCGCATTTTGAGCAAATGAACCATAACATTATCAAGGAACACATATTTTAAAACCCAGATGTTTGTCCTCTTGAACTTATACATGTTGAGGATCCGAAGCATGGTCGAAACTCTACTTTAGGCCAAGAGATAAAAATAAAATAAGAAAAAAGCCAGATCCATAAGAAGCCTACGTAATATCAGGTGAATATGTTTCTTTTGTTTTCCTCTCCCTTTTTGTTGGTAAAATGGACAACCCATTCATACAGATCTACGTTAAAATATAAAGAAAAATCATCAAAGAGTTATAGAGAAATAGTAGCATTTATTAGAATGTAAAGGTCATTCCTCTATTTCAAAATCCTATGACATTCAAATCAACAGAAAGAAAAAGACACAGATAAATCAACTAAATACACCTAAAAGCAAATTATAAATGCAAAGAACAAAAAACAAAACAGCATGACAATAAGAATTGATCAACAACAACAAACCGATAACAATTACCATTAAACTACATTATAGCCCCAACAACAAATTAGATAGAAGCAGGCAATGGGTCATATATCAGGCATCCAAAAGAAAAATAAATGTCAAATAAAAACTAAAAACTAAAAAATAATTTTATTTCTCAATTTTACTCCTTTAGACAAAATACATAAGAAACAAAAACAGCAGAAAGTTTGGGTGGGTGGATCCCCTGCATATGTCCAAAAAAAATTAGAGAATTTCCCTATAAAAATACATTATCCAAAGTCCACAAAAGGGTCAAAGTAAACAATACTACCAAACAAACTACCGTTTTCCAAAATATAATCGTCTCCATCACAATGTAACGGTCTCAAGTTCCCTCCTTTACATCAAATCAAATGATTTTGATCACATTGCAAAAATGGGTAACCAATAAGTCCAGCAGAAAACCCCAAAAACTCCAAATAAAACTGAAAATTTTCATAATGGGTATCAGTCTTCATCAGTCAACAAAGAGTCAAAATACAGAAAACCCACCAACGCCAAAGAGCAACTCAGATCTAATCAAAACAACGACCAAATCCTAAGATCCAACATACCCATTAACATAACAATCAATTCTCGACAATAAGCATGAGATCTCGATCTTTACATAAAAAATAGATCAAAATAACAAAAAATGGTACCTGAAGGCATGGAGGGAGCTCAGGTTGGTAGAGAGCTCGCTGCTTCTGGAGATCTGAGAGCTCACGATGAACGCCGTAATCTGACTCCATTTCTTTTCTTCGTCTTCTTTTTTTTTTTTTTTTTTGTCGCCGTCTCCAATGAGCGAAGAGAAATATTTATACCAAACTACCGGGCGGTGATCACAACCACCACATCCAAGTATAATCTGACTCGAAGGGGATCCGAAAAGATGGGATTGGTGTCTTAAAAAGTTGAGGTTGGGTGGCAAATAATGATTGAAATGAGGAATAAATTTGTCGTCATCTATTTGAATTGTGATTATGTGGGTATTGATTTAGAAAGTTAGCTTTGGGTATATTTCTGTAATGTTCGTTTGTTTGTATTAAAGGGCACTGAGATAACCGACCATGATAGCTACCAGTCAGTATGGAGCATATATTTCCTTTTTTTTAACGAGAATTCACAACATCAGCCTGCAAATCATTAAGGTCCTGTTTGTTTGCTAAAAAAAATGGGAAATGGAGATTTTAGGACCCGACAACAGTTTCACGTCAGAATTTGATTTTGCTCATTTTCGTTTTCCTGAGTCTGGTTCGCTGAGAGTATCAAGGAATTGATCTCAAAAAGAGGGTGTCACGCAAAATTTAAAGAAAACTTATTTCAGAACTGAAGCGATTGAAATGTGTGGAAATAAAATTATGACCCATTAAAATAATAGCTCGCTCATCTTTTCACGAGCTACGGGAAATTTTTGGGGAAAATACGTTAGGGCCCTCCTCATTGTCCTCCTCTCATTTTCCCTCTTCTCCCTTAACGCCTCCATAGGTCACGCTAGAAAAAAAAAATCATTTGGCCCCCAAATTTCAAGGTCTTTGATCAAATTTAAATGGTTAGATGATGAAAAATGTTAGCAATGGTTAGAATGTCACTGATTTGGAAGAGAAATTGAGTAACTTCGTGTGAAGTTATTGATTTTGTTAAAAAGGCAGAGACTTTTCTTGTTGATTATTGTTCTGCTACTAAGGGCTTCATCTGATTCGTTAATTTTGGTGATCATTTTGTCGATTAGCACAATCTCATCCAACTCTAACTGCAAGAGGTATCAATTCTCTAAATCTCTACCTTTCCTTGCTTCGACAGCATTATAAGGTTAATTTTTTTACCTGCAATAAAATTTAATTTTTGTTCATCACTGAAATGTTAAGTTCTAGTTATTTTCACTTGTTTTGATCAAGGGTGTGTTTTAAATGTTAAATTTTCTCTCTAGTCAAAACACTATGCTAGCTTCTCTTTTGGACACATTAGTGTCTTTCTAATCATGTCTAATTGTAGGATCATTCATGAATTTTGGCAATGAACAATCGTAATATGAGTAATGGGAGGTCCCATCTTCACGTGTTCAACAAATTAATTATGGGATCATCAGGTAAAAGGAGAATGATCTTCTAAAAAAGAAATATCATCTCCATGAATAGTAGCATGAGCTGCTTCTCTTACGGAAAAAATAAAACACGTCCAGTGCACTAATCACTATAATAGCATACTGGTAAAATTTGTAAACTTTGTACTATTTTCAAATAGGTTCCAGTTCACTAATCATTATGATGGTGCGTATTTTTATTTCCTTTGCAGATATGAACGCTATAATGTTGGTCACTATTAGGAAATGCACTGATGTTAAAATGATATTTGGTTATGACTTGACATGTTACTTTGACATGGTTATTAGAAAATTAATTTGATATTTGCTTATATGCTTTAAAATCAGCTAGTATATTTGATACGGGTGTATCTTCTCTTCGGGAGCTTAGCGATCCTCATGGGAGCTTGAGGATAGATGATTCTCATGGTATCTTGAGAATAGAGTAGAGGAGTCGTGGACGAGGCCATTGGGAGCAACGAAGTCGAAAGGATTCATCAAAACTGCAGAAATTACAGTTGGGCTCTGTCCGGTCGACCGGCGTGGTCACGGCGGTCGACCGCATCGTGCACGGACCCCAACTGTGTCTCGGGACTGAGATCGGTCGACCGATGGTGGCACTGCGGTCGACCGGAGAACCCTGTAATCGATTTTCCAGATTTCGTCGTTCTGACCGGTCGACCGACTTGGGCACTGCGGTCGACCGCGTCGCGGATCCGGGCCTGGGTCTGTTTCCTGCTCCAGTTGGGATTTCTGTTTAGTATAAATAGAAACACGACTTTTCTAGGGTATAGAACTCAGTTTGTAATCAGAAAAGAGATCAGGGAGGTTGTTCTTTGATCTAGAGAGATTGTGAGAGAGAGATTTGTAAAATCCAATTGATTCTCATAATCTAGAGAAGGTATTTTCCTTCGCCCTAATTCAACTCTTGTGTTCTTCTGTCGTTCTTCTTCTTTACCCACTCTTGATAATTCCGCGATCAAGAGTGCTCGCACGGCAACTCGTATCAAGTTGGTATCAGAGAACCTAGATCCTGTGAAGGGGGAACCTGTGTATGGTCCTTACTCGCTCACAGTACAAGAAGCTTGGCGAGATCCTTAATTCCTCGGAGGGGGTCCAGAAATTAAGGAAGGAGAAGATGTCTGAAGCAGATAATTCAACAAGACTTGATGCCATGGAGAAGCAGATTGAGACGATCGGGACGACTCTTACCCAACTCGTGGGCCTCATCAACGGAGGAGACAAAAAGGAGGAATCTTCTTCGAAGGGTAAGAAGAAACTCGTCGAATCCGACGAAGAGAGCGAGAAATCTGATTCAGAGGGGGAGACTGAGATTGTCAAGACTGCTGGACATCAAAGGGGTAAGAACAATTACCAAAATCTGAAGATTGACTTCAAGGTTGAGATTCCTGTTTATGATGGGAGTATCAATTGCGCCAAAGGGTCAATCAAACCGTTCAAGAATACACTACGGAGTTCCAGCAGCAGGCGATGGTCCTTAACATTGCGACAGAGGAATATTCTGTGTTCATGAAGTATATGGCGGGATTGAGCGATTACATCCGAAAGGAGATGAGGTTATTCACGGTCGAGACTATTGCAGATGCGAGCGTGAAGGCCATTGCCATTGAGGGCAAGCAAAAGAAGAGCAACGAAGCAAAGGGGGATGCAAAGCAAGTTGGAGGCGAGTCTAGTGGTTCTCAGTTTAAGGAGGAGAAGAAGAAGGGTGATCCAGGGAAAACAGGGCTGATTTGTAGTCACTGCGAGAAGACAGGACACGAAGCTGATCGGTGCTGGGAGAAGTATCCTCATCTCAAGCCAAGAGGGTTGAAGAAGAAGGAGGAGAAAAAGGCATACATGATAGCTCAAGGTCGGAAAGAAGTCCCGGGGATGACAGAGCCTAATAGCAGTCTCAATCTTATGACGGGGAAACAGGCCACGAAAGAGGACGACGACCCGAGAGAGCAGCTCTTTGTTCTTAAGTTGCAAGTGAAGACCAGTTTGGTTGATGCCATAGTTGATCCGGGTAGCGAGAAGAATTTGATATCCGAAGCCTTGGTTCAGAAGCTGGGTCTGAAGACGGTCAAGCATCCGAAGCCCTATCCATTGGGGTGGATTCAGAAGGAGGAGAAGCTAAGTGTAGTTGATCAATGCACTGTAAGATTTGCGCTCCATGAGTCGTATATTGACGAGGTCACATGCGACGTAGTTCCATTGGATGTTTGTCAGATTATACTGGGCAATCCGTACTTATGGGATAGATATGCGATCTACGAGAGGTGGGCTCAGAAGTATACATTCACCAAGGGTGGTGAAAAGTTTATATTTCGTTCGGCATCTCTTCCGAGGGAGACAAGCTTGGGAACGGTGACGCGAGCGAAGGGGTTAGTGAATGCAAGCAAGAAGTTTGTCTCGCTGTGCATTAGACTTTCAGAAAAGCCATCGATTAAGGATTGCAACTTGGAACGAGAAGTGACTACGACGAGACGCGGGATGAATGAGTTATTTCCGATCGGACGTCGAGAGCAGATTCCTAGCAAGGCCAGGTGGTTCAGAAAAGGAGGAGGGGCTCACGAGTTCCCTCAGTTTCAGTTCTAACTTGAACGGGACTTCAAGTTCCTAAAGGGGGGACCCATGATACGGGTGTATCTTCTCTTCAGGAGCTTAGCGATCCTCATGGGAGCTTGAGGATAGGAGATTCTCATGGTATCTTGAGAATAGGAGCGTGGATAGAGCTAAAGGAAACGGCGAAAGAAGTCGGAAGAAGCAAAATGCAAAAAGAACAGGAAAGACTGACAGTTCTCTGTCCGGTCGACCGCAGCACGCATGCCGGTCGACCGGAAAACCTGCACGCTGCAGGGTTTGAGAAAATTCTCTGGCCGGTCGACCGGACCAAGCCCGGCGGTCGACCGGATCGCGATTTCTGGGTTTCCTGTTTCGTTTTGGATTCTGTTTTGACAGGGATTCCTGATTCTTTTGGGCTTGTTTATTTACAAGTTTGCCATCCACGTTTACACATCTACAAATAGGATTGTTTTAGGGTTCTAAACAATCAGACCTAAGGAAAGAGAAATTCTAATAATTGTATTAGGGTTTAGAGAGAGAGAGTTGAGGGGTTATTCTCAATTCTAGCGAGATTGTGAGGGAGAGATTGTAATCTTTGTTCTTCATAATCTAGAGAAGGTATTTTCCTTCTCCTTATACTGAATTATTCTTGTGTTTTGGTCATCCTCTTCTCAACCCACCTTTTGGTAATTCCGCGACCAAAGGGTGCTCGCACGGCAACTCGTATCAAGTTGGTATCAGATTGAGACGATCGGGACGACTCTTACCCAACTCGTGGGTCTAATCAACGAAGGTGACAAAAAGGAGGAATCTTCTTCGAAGGGCAAGAAGAAACCCGTCGAATCCGACGAGGAACACGAGGAATCTGATTCAGAGGGGGAGACTGAGATTGTCAAGACTGCTGGACATCAAAGGGGTAAGAACAATTACCAAAATCTGAAGATTGACTTCAAGGTTGAGATTCCTGTTTATGATGGGAGTATCAACGTGGAGAAGCTTGATGATTGGATCGAACGTATGGAGATGTACTTCACTCTCTACGGATATTCGTCCAAGGAGAAGATAGTGTTCGCGACACTGAAGCTTTCCGGGCACGCGTTGACGTGGTGGAAATCCTATTGCAAACAGGAGAGGAAAGCGGCGTCGTGGAACAAGTTCAAGGAACT